TACAGATTTACGCGGCAGTTGTCAATGGTTGATCAATTTCTGGGTTGGTTGCCATGTCGTTGGCTTGGACGATCTTGATGAGTCGAGAGATATATGGCACTCTTCTCCAGACACAGTTTTAGTATCTTCTGAAAAAGAGAACGATATGTCTCTAGAAACGTTAAGAAGTGCAAACCGACGCTGTGGTAAACCAGTCTGAAAATTGTTCATCCAAACCCATAAAAATTTCAAAAAAGAAAAACTCAAACACAGCAAAAGTAATCAAAACGAAATTCCACCAGTGACATGACTATGAAAAATCTTTTTTTTTTGNTAGAAACGTTAAGAAGTGCAAACCGACGCTGTGGTAAACCAGTCTGAAAATTGTTCATCCAAACCCATAAAAATTTCAAAAAAGAAAAACTCAAACACAGCAAAAGTAATCAAAACGAAATTCCACCAGTGACATGACTATGAAAAATCTTTTTTTTTTGTACTTATTAAGGATCATTGACGAAATTAGTTATTACTTATCAGTCTATTTCTTCATGTTATAAAAAAGACCAAGTATGTTCTCGCTTCTGTTTATGCATACACAAAACGCAGATAATGAAATCCTTCCCTATTCTTTGTTCTCTACATATGACCAAGTTTAGACAACCAACATTGCACGTTCGTACTGCCAATAAAAAATCCTTAACCCTTAACATCATCAATATTAATGATTCGTTTATCATGAACAATGACAAACCGTTACGTCTACACTCGAGATATGCGATCTCCGATTGAATGAATAAAAAATTGTGAAAAATTATATCAATCACCGGCCGGTGGAACAAAATTTTGTATTCTAACGTAACCTCGGTGTTTTGATCATTTTTAATTTTACCAAAATTTAATTGCCAACGCGAAGTAAACAAAATTACTGTTTCAAACTAAATTTCGTGGCTTGTAATCATTTATGAAGGCTCTGTGCACCTTAACTAATTTATGCAGTATTAAACCACAAATGTATCTATTTCACGCAAAGCCATCGACATCGCGACAATGTTGCAACGACACACTTACTAGGTTGCCACGCTATATTAATATGTTATTTTCAAGTTCTCCGCTATTCACACTTTATTCGCCTTTCGTGATGTCGTGAGGCATCACGCCGTTGTATCGAGGATGCTAAATTGTGTCTTTACCTGTCTTTTATCTTTTCTTACCATGGATATAAATTAATCGATCATATAAAGAGAGCATCCTTATTTGTACTTCATGGTAGACACACTTTTGTACCAGAACTTTGTGAAGCAGATATGACGTTCTAAGTACCACCCTAGATTTTGTTTTATCTCCTATATTTAACTTTTTTATATAGAAAAGTGATGTATCAGCGAAAATACTGCCCGTTCTGTAATTCAATATATACACAGGTCTTTCCTCTGCCCCATTAATTCAAAATGCGCACGTACGAAACTTAAAGTTGTGACAATCAAGTTTGATAGTTTTAAGCTACACCACTTTAAAAAAAAAACTTGTTCCCATATTTATTTAGGCATACTATGGGTATGCGTGGAGGTGGTAGAAATGTATACGTTCAGAAGAATGCGCGCGGGCAAACGAAATACAAACATATCTGCATTGGGCCACTGGGCAATAAATCTCAGCTGTTGACAAGTGGTTGAGAAATTGCCCAGCAGTGCAGTGCAGCAATGCGGAATTTGGTGTGATTCAGGTAATTTTAATTTATTATAGGCACCGTCTATTAATCATTGATATTACAATTGACAAAGGGAGAAATAATATTATTACAACATGGCATTTTGAAACGGAACAAAACGAAATTTATGATCAATATAATAAAGTTGTTTGAGGTAATAAATAATTGAAATATGTTCTTGGCCAAACGAACATATAATAGACACATTATATACAAATTATTATAACTTTTTTAGGAGCACCTATGAAAGTCATTAAATTTTATTGCTAGTGGTTTTTTATATGTTCAACTGACTTCGGAAGAACTATACTAACCTAACGCTTATGATAATAAAAAAAGCAGTTCGTTTTTCTTGCTATGCGAACATCAAAGCTATCCCAATAATTATACTCATCGCTGTGAAATAATAATTTTCAAAGCTTGAGATAGCGAAGAACTTTTTTAATACAATCTGGCAGCAATATCACTGCGGCATTTTCCAAACCAAATTGAAACATGTGAAGCAAAGGCACGCTTTTGTCACCAGTCTGTAGCCGTAAGCCCGCTCGAGTCGCGCAATGTGCCTTTCCTGCCCGATACAGCCCACGCACTCTAAGGCTATCTCATTCTGGCTCTATGTTCATTATACGTTGTCTTTGTGTGAGGAAGTCTGAAAGAGAGGGAGAATACTTAACACACAAGACAACTTCCTGCATGATGAGTTCATTCCGTAATTTATACCCAAGTTGTTGCACAATGTACGGCTCACGGCAATGAACCGTTTAATGTGATTTTTTTCTGTTAATTAATCTAACATTTCATATATTCCATTTATAATTTATGTATACCTTCATGGAACACTATTTTTTAAAATTAACTGTTGTTGTCGGGAGGTATTTATTTGTAGCCATACTTAATTAACTAGTCTTGCGCCAAAAGCATTGGTCGAGGGTTATTCTTATGAAACTGTCCGTGCCTACTGGAAAATCGCATAATGAAAAAAGCAGGCAAAGAATACACATCGTATCACTTCAGTTAATTAGTAATTTGCAAATCAATCAGTTTTCATTTTCAAAACTACGAATGACGTTCCATAATTGAAATAAGTTTAGCAGATCAATTTATAGCACAGCTCCACACAAAAAAAGTATTGTGCAAATGACCAGAATACATTATTCCCACGTATTTCGAGCCGCTGAATTCGAATCCGATGTCAGAATTGTCTCGGCAAATCACCAGAATTGAGTGTAGCACTGAATTCATGGAAATAATATATTTTTCCATTATTTGTAGCCTTATCATTCTAAAATTCGAGAATATTAGCGATATTAAACTATTTTTCAGTTTAGAAAATTCTGGTGAATTGCTGGAGTCAATTCTGACGTCAGATTCGGATTCAGCGGGTCAAAACACACGGGAATACATCGATTAGCCCACAATTTCTAGTGGGCTAATTTAAATCATATCTGGAGCATAGAAGCCAATTTATTAATTTTGTGGATTTTTAAGGTTAGGAAGGATTTGTGACATTGTGACCTTATGGGTCAAGATACATAGGAATAATGTACAGGACACAGTTTTTGAAAGCACGTTGCTTGGTTATTGTCTAAAAACACCGTGGTTGAGAAGATTAAAATGATGATGGACTTATCAATGCTCGAGGGTTTTTCGGTCAGATTTGTTTTGACAATCCTCAAATGCATTTATTTTTTTTCGCGACTGTATATTGGTGAATATCTAACTTGTAGTTACTATTTCTATCTCTTCTGATCTTAGTTGTCATATGGTAAATTAAATCTCTTCACTCACTTATACTACACATGCTACATACGACTTCACCCGCAAAAGCGGTTTATTGGAGTTAATTTTTTTCTAAAACGTGACTTACCAAAAATTAAATAAGCAAGTAACTTTTTGTGTTTTATTTTTTAAGAGGGGAGGTAGTGGGACAGTAAATGAACTAATATTACGTTATTTTTACGATTGATAATAAGAACAAGTTTATTGCGGGGGTACTGGGAGATGCCAGCGCTAAGAACGTCAGAATTTTAATAGCACTCCTTGTTTTGAAAATTCGATAGGTCCATTTGGTTCTTAATTGCATTTCAAAATCAAAAAATCTTCCATTATATCCGAAAAAATGAGTAATTTTCGATGAATTCTTTTAGCCAAAAATAAACAAACAAAATAAACAAATCGAAAATAATTCTGAAACTGTTCGTTTCACAAAAAAATGACATGAATTACTTTTAAATACAATGGTCCTAAAAATTCAGTAACGGAATATTTTTCCTTGCTTTCTTCCAGAACATTTTAAATTTTCATACCAACGATTTTTTGAATTTTTGTCCTTCCTTGTATTTAAACTTGTAGTTACTAGAAGAAATTCTTATAAATTCGTTTTGTGAAACGCGCAGTTTTGGAGTTATACTCGATTTATTTTAACTAGAAAATAAAAAATAATACGAAAACAACGCGATTTTCAAATAGATTTGAAGAGATCCTTTTTCTTTGACATGATCAACAACCAAATATAGTAGCGTCGAAATTCTGAGGCTCTAGCAACTAGTAACAGCATATCTTAGTCCATCTTGTAAAGTAAATTTTAACATTCATCAAAAAATTTATTCGGCACATGTTCCGAAAACTAAGCCATTTGGGTCGAATATCCATAGGGACTCTCTCCTTAAAATACCGTAAATACAGATATTTCATAAATGTTTACAAGCCACGTGACCATCGAGCTTAGGCAACCAATATTGCAGGGCTGGTACAAATATTCCCTAAGTCTTGGCGTTATCAATATTAATGATTTGTTTACAATGAACAATGACAAACTGTTACTTCTACGCTCGAGATAATGCGATCGCTGATTGGCTGAATGGAAAAATTACACTAATCACAGTCGGTAGAACAAAATGTTATATTTTAATGTAATCTTGATCTTATTATTTTAATAATTTTTAATTTTACCGAAGTTTACCAATGTGAAGGAAATAAAACTACTGTTCCATACAAAATTACTGTACACGTGGTTTCTAATCGTTTATAAAGGCTCTATAGTTATCTCCTTTATTATTGGAATATATTTAAGGATCACCCTGTATTGCTCTATTCATATTTGTACATCATTCATATCGAAACGCAATACATAATTTTTTTAAATAAAAATAAAACACCAAGTACCTTCAATTTTTGTTGTAGATATACGGAAATGTATTAATTCGTCTTAATTCATTTTATTTATGTATTTCAAGTAGAATAGGTATTTACTGTTTTATTACTCTCTTTGACTAGGCTGTAGTTCGTATTCATGGAAGTTTTTTTTTTCTAGGTGTCGGCTGGTCAACATTTGCATCTCAGTGGTGACCTTAAAGGAAATGTCTCTATTGCAGCCCAGCAAGGCATGCATTTCAGCCAACACAATTCTCAAAATGGCACATCACAGACTCAAACTTCACAAAACAATAACCAGCATTCTCAGCACAGTCCCCTGTCAAATTCTCAGCATCAAAACTCGCCCATGCAAAATAATATGAATGCACAACATGGACAAAACACAATGAACCACCAAGCAGGTCCGCAGGTAGGAAACGCGATGGTGTCCGGAGGTCACACCATGCCAGGTTCTCAGCTTAGCAGCCAGCAAAGTCCTTTGGGGTCAAATATACCTGGGGGAATTCCGGGCTCAGCAGGTATGCCTGGTTCTGGTAGTTTAGGGGGAGCAAACAATATGGGAATACCCAATTCCGGTATGGGTCAGAATAATTTAGGAGGACCTAATGGCGCCATGGGAGGACCTGGGAGTAACATTGGTGGACCTGGAGGTATGCCAGGTAATCTGGGAGGTATGCAACATCCAGGCATGCATGTTGGAGGGTTAACACCAAACCATGGAGATTCTTACTCAATGTCACAAACCCAAACCATCAACTTTACACAGCAATCCCTTCGAAGAGCTGGAGGAGCTGGTGGTAAGTTTTCAAATTCAATGTAATGTAAGCGAAGGAAGAAAAAATTTACTAAAACTTCTTCAGAAATATGCCCATACTTGATTAAAAATGTAAATAATAAGAGAGCCAGAGCAGAATATATGGTTAAACCAAGGAATTTAGTCCAAAAGAAAACAGTGACCTATAGTAATTCAATCTGCCTGTTTTACACTAAACGTCTCGATTATCGAAACATAAATAATATACCTACTTATTTTTGTTTAAATTTTTATATTAATTAAAACTATATAGAACGAATGGCCAGTAATAATAAAATTTTTTAAACTTGTAGCATGCAACAAGTATTAGCCCCCCCTGGCTACTCCCATGTATGTATATCTGTATTAACAAAATGTAAAGATAGGATAAAATAAACTCATCATAGGCGTAGAAGTTACGCTTTATGAGTGAGTTGGCCTGTCCATATACAGGGTGTAAGGAGAATGACTGTCATAACTTCAACATGCGATAGAGTAATCATAAATGAACAAAAAAGTTGTATATTACAGGGGCGTAAGATTAACTGTTTTCTAAAAACAGGGAGTATTAATATCGGGGAGCTTCATCAAAACGTGACAATAGCGCTTAACCTAATGCTACAAACTTGTCCTACGGAATAACAAAAATGTAAACAACTATTATTGTGAAACATGAAAGACAATTTTCAGTTTTTAAATAAATAAAATAAAATGTATGGATTTTGTAGTATGAAGATAGTGTTGTGCTTAAATTTTAGGTCGAATTTTAGTAATTATGAATCTCTTAAAATAGGAACTTAACATTTAATCAAATTATGAATTTGAAAAATATCTAATTAAAGTACCCATAGATTCACATCGACCAAATAATCATGCGTATTAAAAATAATTTAGGGACTTACCAAAAAGCAAAAGTAATTTTTAAACGCACAAGTACAAAATGTCCACCACTATTTTCGACAGCTTCGAATCCAATTTTCGCGCACTTGCTGGAAAACATCTCAAGAAAAGGAAATAGTGGTACGCAAAAAACACTCTGACATGGTCCAATTCCAGATACCAACACCAACTAAATTGAGTATTGCTGGACAGCTTAGTACCGCCAGGCCGTTGTTACATTGATCTATATGAATTTTATAGAATTTTAAATTTATTACACTAATTATTTTTTAGAATTAAGCATAAAGAAATTCAAAAAAGTGATATAAACATTGTATTTTATGGTATTCTATGTACGTAGTTTTGTCAATATTCCTTAATTAATCAAACTTTTGTACATCAAGTTGGACATTTTGATAATTTTTCTCTCAGAAACAGTTGAGTTTAGGACCCATGTCATATAAGGTTTTTTTTGTTTATTTTAATGTATTCTATTGTCTGTTAAAATTAAGGCAGTCAAACTTCTAACATCCTGTATCTATGACACTGGTAAAAGAAATAAAGGATTACTATCGTGGTTTTGTAAAATGTTCAGTATTATTATTATATTAAATTTTGTGAAACTCTTTATTACACATTTTTTGAAACATCTAAAAATTTTTTTTTTCTGAAAATATTTGATGACCTATATCTCAGACAAATTTCCAGGTCAAGATTATATTAACTTTTTTGTCCATATTTACCTGAAATTTGTTCCTTTAAAGTTAATATGGTCACCCTGGATACATACATAAATTCCTTCTCAGGAATTTGTAATACACAAGTATTATCTTTTGTTTCTGAAGTAATTTTAATAATTTAAGAAAAACATTATTTATATTTATTAAGTACATACCATGCAAAACATTAATGAATATCATGTTGTTTACAATTTATAAATTTTTATGTACTTGTATGTGTAATGATAAAGTTTTTATCCGCGGTAATAAGGCAATCGTTAGATAATAAGACCAATAATTACGTTCATGTGAATCACATTTATGTTACTCAATAGATTTCCAATGACACTAGTTATTTTTTATAATCTTTATTAATAATTAATGGATTAGCAATTTTTGTTCATGTTTAAAAATATTCTATATAAATGTTTAATATAATACCTATAACTTATTATATCTATATAGTATACTACCTATATACTTATAATTTTTTTTTCACTGAATTTAGAATCAGTGGCGGATGTTGAAAATTAAAATTCCAGTTTTTTAGTAAATTTCTAGGCACACGTAGAGAATTCCCTTTTGTTTGATTTCATTAAAAAAATTAAGTAATCATTGTATCAATTACTTCATTCAGTTGAAGTGAACTAAAATGTCTTCATATCCACTGATCTGATAAACAGAAATTTACTCAATGTTCTTCCACAGGAGTACCAAATCCAATGGGACCAACTGTCCCCATGGGACCAGGCTCTATGGGTGGCCAAGCAAATATGGGACCACGTTTGATAAATGCCCAAACTATTGAGCAGCAGAAACTACTTCATCAACAAATGCTTCGGGTACAGCAACAAGCCGCAATGCAGCAACATATGGTCAGACCACCACCTCCTGACTATAAAACTAGCGCTGGAATGATGCAAGGTGTTCAACCGAGATATGGAAATGGCCCTCCCACTGTAAGAAGGATGCCACATCAACCCATGCCACCGTCTGGTAAGAAATTATAATTTACGAGATCAGAAAATAGTCCAAATAGTATATAGCACACTATTAGAAGCAAATTGTCTAT